GCGACCGAGGACCGCCCGGCGGTTCATCCGTCGACGGCCGTGGTCGCAGGCGCCATACCTACGTCACCACGTGGAGTCATTGTCAAACTCTCGTTGTGCAGTCGTAGTACGCTTGGAGAAAGGCGCCACCGATGTGCTTCCAGTTGCGAGTCGCGACGCTCTGGGCAAAGGTGACGAGGCTTCCAAAGTCACTGATCGCACGGGCGTAGACGTCTTGGGCTTTGGCCGTCCAGTCGGCTCGTCCGAGCGCGTCGGGCTTGCTAGAGCGGATGTCTCACGTTGACCCGACCGTCATCCATGGCACGTACTGAAGGTCGACCCAGCGCTCGTACGTGCCAAGGCGGGACGCGGCTTCGCTGAGGCGCAACTGACTCGCATCGGCGAGCGTTGCGTTGAAACTGTCTGTTGTCCACGCCGCCGCTATCCACGCTGTGTGAGCCACTAGAATAGGGTCACATGGACCTACTTATAAAGGACGGGAGACGGTTTGCAATGTCCGTGGCGGTCGGCGGGAGGCATAGGGTGGCGACGACCACCGGCGGTAGCGCTGCGACCACGTCGTACAAGGGCGATGTCTGTTGCTGCACGAGCCGCGCGATCTGATCCGTGAAATCTTCGCCGCCGAGGTACTCTGCGAAGATCTTGCGCCACACAAACTGCGGCACGTGCACGGATCGCAGCGCCAAGACGGTCTTGTGGACCTCGTGGCGGAACCTAGGTAGGGTTAGGGTAGGGCTAGGGATCGGAACGTACGGGACGGACGTCGGGCGCGCGGCCAGCTCCCGCATGGTCCAGAGCAGCCGCAGCTCCAGACCGCTCGGAACACGAAAGAGACTCCCATGACGGCGCAGCAGCTGGTACGCGGTGGACGCGAGCGCAGACGGGCAGTCGAGCGCGCGGTGCAAGCAGGTTTCAAGCGCCGCGATACACGCGTCCGAGCGCCATCGCACGAGATCGTTGAGGAGGCGGCCAAAGTCTTTTGTGGTCGTGTTGAGCGCGACGTGGCAAGCGCCCTTGCAGAGCTTGAGCGTCGACGGGTGCGACAAGACGCGGCGAAGACCGGCCAGCGGCAGCGGCGACTGCTGCCCGCGCATCGACCGCACCCGCTTGGCAACCTCTTTGGTAAAGCTAGTACCATATCGCGCAAATGATGGAATAGGACACGATGATGATACCGATCGTAGTCGGGCTGGTACGCGGCAAACTCGAGGGCCGACATGTGCACGACACGGACGGGCAGCTCGGTTTGACGCGGCAGGATCTGCAGCGTTTCGACTGCATAGGTGCTCGGAGTCCGCCACACAATGTCTTGCAAAAGCGCTTGAATGGACGCGACATGGGCCGCATTGCTGGGGTTGATGTGGCTCCAGTACGCTGGCGCGTCAAAGGGCGGGAGGGCGAGGTACTTGGCGAGCCCTAGTTGACGGCATGTCGAGCTGTATCGGCGACGAATATAGGTTATATACCTAGCATATCGATGGGCTTGGAAAGCGGTGTCGCCGATAGCCCCCAGCGCACTTGGGCGTCGAGCGCTTGCACCATGGACGCGGCCAACGACGTGCCGGCGCCAAGAATGTCTTGCACTTCGTCAACAATAATGCGCTGCCATCGCACGTGGAAGAGCACCGAGGTCGCGCGCCCCCGCTCGCTCTGCTCGGACTGGAAGAGATGCCTACGCGCGCATGAGCGACCATGCAGGCTACGATCGTCGACCATTCGAGACCCAAGTCGTGCAGCGAGACGAGCACAACGGGCGGCGGGCGCGACGCGTCAAACGAAAGCTTCTCGTGCTTGCGCGGGTTGTATGTGAGCGTCGACCACGTGTTGGGCTCGAAATGCAGCGCCATCTCGCCGAGCCTACAAGCCTCGAAAGCCCGATGGCGACTTGCAGTCGCGTACCATTGCTGGGCGAGGAGCGCATTTGGCACAACAATCAGCGTCGGGTCGGTCGATGGATGCAGCTGCAGACAGCTCAAGGTCGTGAGCGTCTTCCCGAGGCCGGGCCCGTCGGCCAAGACGCCACCGCGCAGCGACGATGTGGCAGCCTCGCGGCCGACCATCCACGCGAGCGCAGCTTCCTGGTGCGCATGGAGCGTGGTCGACGCCTTGAGGCGCGGAGGCCGCTGGCGCAGCGAGGACGTGGCGCCACGATGCGCGCCAGTGGTCGCCTCGAGGAGCTGCGCTAGGTTCATCGACGATGGATCTTCTTGCCTTGTGGCCGCTGTCACAACCCCGAAGTTCGAAGAAGTACTTCGACGTGCACTCGTGCCTAATTAGGCACGAGTGATGGTCTTTACCTTAGGCCTAGTCCTAATTGCCACCTTGCTGTCGTCCATACTGAATTCCAGTCTAGTTTCGCCTCGTGTTGAGCGGGGTTGAGTGGCAAATGCCATTGGTGGAGCCAAATGCTACAAACACCCAACTTTGTTGCGTCATGGTCCTGTTCCGCACAGTAATAGCACGCTCTTTCATGCATGCATACAGCATGCTCGCACCGTCTCGAATGCACGTGCATGCACAGCAGCGTTTCCTTGGTATATGGTGGTGTACTGGTATCGTATTGCCTGACTGACCGTACAGAGCTGGGTGCGTTTAGACCAGTACAACTCCGCCTGTCTACGCCAGGTGTCGACACCAGAGCGGACCATGGGCGACGTGGAGCTGCGCATTGGCGACGATGCCCAAGAGACCCAGGTCGACGTGCTCACATACGAGGAGTGGGGTGCGCCGCACCTCACGTACGACGAGTACCTCGACCGCGAAGACCAGTTTCGTGCAACGGCGTTCGCGCAACACGCGGTGACCGACTATGTCCTGGTGCCGACGTCGGACCCGGGCACGCTGGACCTGCGCGGGTACCTCGAGGTCTTCAAACGGCCGGTCGTGCTTCGCCCATGGAATCCGTCGGCCGGCCTCGTCTACCTCGATGGCTGGAGCGTCGCGTCCGTGTTTACGCCGGCGCGTCACCGCAAGCAGGGCTATGCCTCCGCGATGCTCGCCGCGTTCCTTCAAAAGAAGAAGGAAGAGGACCAGTACACCGTGGTGAATCTCTACTCGGACATTGGTACGAGCTTCTACGCCGCGAGAGGCTATGTGCTCGCGCCCTCGTTGGCCATCTCGCTGCCAACGACCACGACGCCGTCGCGAGTAGAGTTGCCTCGGACGTGGACGCTTCGTCTGCTGGCCACCCACGCCGACCTCGAAGCCATTGCCGCGCACGACCGAGCGCGGGTGGCCGCCAGTCTGGCGCCCGGCGAGCTCGCTTTTCTGCTCTCGGCGGATGCGATAACGTTCTTCCACGTGCAGCACGCGTACTTTGCCCGCAAGCACTTGACGCTACCGACGCTGCCGACAACGTATGGTGTCGTGCTCGAGGACGCCGGTTCGATCCTCGGGTATCTCGTCTGGGCGCACAACTTTGAAGAAAACACGCTCGACATTCTCAAATACGCAGGGTCGCAGCCCGACGTGTTTGCTGCTTGCCTCGCCACGCTGCATGAAGAAGCCACGCAATGGGGCTTGGCCAACATTGTCTTGTGGCCCACGGACGAGATGGCGCTGCCCGCGGACGTTCGCGCGAAGGCGACGCCCCGAGACGACTCGCTCTCGATGGTGCTCGTTCGCAGTACTAGTACGCAAGAAGAAGAAGACGCGCCGTATACGTGGGTCGCGAATGAAAAGTACTTGTATGCATAATGGAATCGGTCGTACGAGCTCTCGTTGGACTCGACTTGAGCGCCTCGATGCGGACAAGAGCTCATGCGTGCCTGCTCGACAGAGAGGACGAGCCTTTGTACTCTGCGTGGCTGTATATGTCGTTTCCATTGAGTTGAAGGGCGCTTTAGCAAGCCAGACGACGGTGCTAGCCGCTCGACACCTTGCAAGGTGCTGCGCAACAGCTTCTGCGTAACGAAGCCCTTCCACTCCTATTTCATCTGGCAACCCTGCGCCACCACGTTGTCCAGCAACAAGGACGCCGACGTGTCACTCGGATGGCCCAAGACCGGGTTCTCGAGGTACGGCAGCTCTGTCCATCGGGCGGCTCCGCGGTCCCAAGTCATTTTTGGCTCAAGCCGATCGGTTGTACTGTGCTGAACCCAGTCGACACGAGAAGCCATGGTACTCGACCCTATCAACTACCGATCGCTCTCCGAGAGGCAGTACTCGAGTGTCTGACGTGGCAGCGCTACGTGGCAGTGGGGATGTCGAGATGGTTGCTACTATTATATAGTCACCCTGCTTTGTCAAGGCTCCATATCGTGCTCAGGAGGTAGCAGAAAAGCTCGTCGACGCGGCGCTCCAAGCCCCTTCCTCTCGGTGCCGTTGTCTTTAACGCCACATCCAACGTGCTCCAGAGCAGAGTTGTTGAAGCAGCGGGTCAGAAGTTCGTACGATGCAAACGCGTTTACCCTGGCTCAGCATTCTTATTCTCAATGAGAATGCTGAGTTATCGTTGCTGGTTTGCTGTCAAGTCGTCGCCACATCGTGAGGCGAGCGGCGACCGCTGGGGGTTGGCGACAGCTTGTATCTTGTACCCACGTGCGGAGACGCAGATCGCACTCGGGGTGAGATTCCTTTGGACAGCGAGCGTCCTGAACTGACACCATTGACTGTAGTGCCCCCATTAGCCTCCCAAGAGCATCGTTGTGTCTGAAACGTGCCCCCCGCCGCACGTGGTCGACGCCGAGGAATGCCATCTTTTGGGTGCTTGCGACAAAGCCACGCATTCGTCATGTTGGCGGATTTCCAAGCGATGCATGGTTGCAAGATTGCAATGATATCGAACGCGCAACTTCATGCAGACACAAAGCCAGGTTTTCCTTCAAGTCTGCTCTGAGAACGAATGCTTTCTTGTCCGTGACGCTCTTGGTTGGCACGAGACGCTTGTACTAGTACGCTAGTCGAGTCTTCTTTTTCTAGCAGCGCGCTTCGTTGTGCGTATGTAGAGGCTCTGGACGAGTAAAAAAAATCGCGCCGGGGGGCATGGGGGGCGAACCCTTGTAGAGTGTTGGACGACGACGTGGCTACGCACCCACTGGCCCGATTCTTGGGCGGAGTTTGTCGAGTATGATATTCGAGCCTTGGCAAGCAAGAGGGTACTCGGCTCGTCGCCGCACGCAGGTCTAGTGGAGCGGCCTATATGCGTTGGCTTCCATTCGCTGGCCCCTCGATACGATACATCACGGTCGCTGCTGTCTCGGGACAACAAACAGTACCGGGGTGCCCATCCCGGTGCATCGTCACGGAAGCTGTCCAACGCGTGTGGGGTGGTCGCGATGCCAGCATGCTCTACGTGGGACTGCAAATCGGAAGCATGGTGCCACGTGGTGGTGTGACACACACATCCTTTTCAAGACTGTCTCGTCGTCACCTTGCCTCTTGCCGGCGAGGGCGAGAGGCCACGTCTGATCCGATTGCATTCGTTGCGAGGCATCTCAAAGCCTCGCTTCGGTCGCCCGTGACTGCGCTACTCGAGTGGTATCCATGCTGTATTGTTTGTACCCACGAAGGCACTGTGTTGAAAGAATATACCCACGCTTGATGCGCAGATTCTTGAAGCCGCCGTGGGATCCCGCGGTATGCTCATTTCCCGTCATCGCATCGCTGCTACCAATGTCTTGATGGATGTATGGACGACCAGTGAGCCAGCGTGCGCGGCGGCCATTGAGCGACCGCCTTCTCCCATATACCCATGCAGGCATACTATCCACAGCACGCATGTCCATCCAGCACAGTCGACGAGTGCAGCGATCGCGTCAATCCAGCAACTTTTAACGAGCGCAGCGATTGCGTCAGTCCAGCAAATGCGACGAGTGCGATGATCATCTCGCCGGCGATTCGCGTTCAACGATTCATGCAGGACCACGCCTGCGCCACCGAGGCTATTCTCACGACGGTCGACACCACTTGTCGAGGCCTATTCCTCGAAGGCGACCACGCCACGGACGTCAAGGCTCTCCATGCGCGGTCAGGAACTGCCCAGTTTGCCGTTTTCAGAAAGTGCAATCTCATCGGGACGGTTTTGGTAAATGCCTTGCCACATTGACAGAAACATGCAATCGTCGGCCTGTAGGTTCTGAGGCGCGCCTGTCGCCGCCACCAGCAGCTCGGATGCATCAGTTTTCATTTGGCCGCATGCCGCTCAGTGCAATCATCAAAGCCGAACCGTGGCGTCTTTCTTGCACGGGTGCGACGCCCAAGCAAAACCACAACAACTTTCATCTCTCGCGCGTGCCACCGGCGCCGCCGTCCCATGTGCGCACGTCGCAGGCGATGCAGGCCGGTCGCCCGTACACGCTCTACTCGCTCACCGTCACGTGCCCGCTCACGCACCTGCAATGGACGACGCACAAGCGGTACCACGACTTTGTGGTGTTTCGCGAGCAGCTTCGCGCGTTCACAGCCTTCTCCAACACCATCATGGTGCCCGTCGTCGAGAAGCTCTTGCGGATCAAGTTGCCGAAGAAGCAGTGGTTCCAGCGCAAGGCCCAAAGCGTCTCGGAGCGCGCGGCGCACCTGAATGTCTTCTTGTGGAGCCTCATGGAGATGCGCACGGAAATGTGCGTCTACCGGCACAAGCACCAGCTGCAATGGCCACTCTTTGACCGCCTCCAAGCGTGCATGGAGGCGTTCCTTGAAATCCCCGACTGCCTCTGCGACATGGAGCTCCGCGAAGCGCAGCATGGAGGCGGCGACGACGACGACTGCGTCATTTGCACCAATGGCCTTCACGCGTCGCCGTCGGTCGAGCTGCCCTGTGGCCACGCTTTCCATGCCGAGTGCATTTTCGATTGGTTTTCCCAACAGCCCACGTGCCCCCTCTGTCGCTCGGTCACCGACCGAGTCATTGGGCTCTACGCGCCGCAGTCCATCGCAACCAACGAAGTCTCGTTGTAGTTTAGTCGAGTAGCTTAGTCGTATCTTATTTAAACCACCCCTTCTTCCATCATGTACGACGACGTGGTCAACGCTTGTGACCGCTTGAAAGACGGTGACAGGTGCTTGCATCCCACGCTGTTAGACCGCAGGAGACAGCGCGAGCGACGGACAGACGCGGTGCGGAGGCTACCGACGATGCTTCGATCGCGTGGCTTGTGAGTCACTGCAGACAAATAATGACAGGAGCCGACTCGGCTGCATAGATATCTCGTTGCGTTTTGATGGCCACCTGGGTATGCGGCTGGCTGCTCTGGTTTTAACGGGCCTTTCCCAATGTCGTCATTGCATCCCACGACCAGGAGGAACGCAAGGGCTGTATATGCGTGTCACTAGATGCAAAGATAATGCAGTGCAGCGCCTCTGATGGAAGCGCTGCATGGAAGGTTCACATACACGTATACTCGACGCGCAGCTGCCACGGGTCGAAACGGCTTCATCCGTGCGCGCAGGCAAGGTTGACACGCGTCGCTCAAGTCAAAGGAGCGTCACCGAAATTGATCGAGCGTCTCTGCGTTGGACGGAGAGAACGTGGGATTCGAGGTGCCTCGTGCAAGGTCAGAAGCTCGGGGCTCGTATACGAACGAGCGTTTCTTATTCTTAGAGCTACATGACGTGGCAGCGTAACAGGATGGCGTTTGGTGGTGGTGTCGACAGAAGATGCGTCAGCGCAACTCGCTCTGCAGCTCTCAGGATGATGTCACAGCCACGCGCTTGATGCCATGCGACGTATTTGATGACGCGCACGCAATGTTGAGGGGCTGAGTTTACGTCCGAGTCTTGCAAGAGGTTGGTGCACTTCTTACACTGCGATGCAATGTACACGTTGTTTCCCCTGTGTTATTACATGCAGTTATATAAAGATATGGTGGACTGTCTAAAGCGCTCGTGAGGCGATCCGGTGCGGTAGCGAGGAGGTCGTGATTTGAGATTGTGCAAGGGACCAGGTAGCGTGCACACCAAGGGTTGTCGCGGAGAGCGACCAGCGACGCGTCAATGTACACGTGTAGAAACACTACTGCGGTCCAGCGCCTTGACCTGTCGACATAGCGGCACGCACGTCAGTGGCAAGGATGGGTTCACGGACCTTCTCTTGAGATCTGCAATGTTCGGTGCTCCAATTTCTTGACTAGCACGACGCCGCCACGGCGATCGAGTAGATATGAAACAGAGCGTGTTGTGGTTTAATACTTGAAGAACGAGACACTGCCGGCGCGGGGCCCGTGCTGGTTGAGCTGGCGAATCTTCTCGTCCTTGAAGATGTTCTTGGTCTCTTTCTTGTCGGTTCGCCGCTCCTGCTTGTGCGCCTTGGCGGCCAGCTTGCGCTCCTTCTTCTCTTCCTTGGTTTCCTGGCGGTTGCGCACGAGCTGCGGCACGACCGAGCCCACGTAGCTCACCGCATCGTCGTGTTGGCTCTACTCATTTGATTTTGTATCAATGTTTCAAAAAACATGGCAGCGAGTACCTCGGCCTCTTCCGAGATGGGCGTGATGTTGAGGGGCATGCCCGTCTTGGACGAGAGGATGATATGGTTCGCGTTCTTCTTCTTCTTCTTGGGGTTCTCACGGCGCGGCTCGCGCAGCAGTGTCGGGTGGTTGTCCAGGTTCGAGTACGTGCTGACAATGGTCTCGCAGTCCCACTACAAAATACAAAAAAATCCATGAAAATCAACCAAAATCCACAAGAATGACAACTAGGTGTACCTGATCCTCGACCCGCGGCGCCAAGTACGGGTTGGTGTGCGCAATGTCGTCCATGTTGGCCAACTCGGGCTCCGCCTCCTCTTCGCTCTCGTACAAGGCGTCCTCCGCCGCGCACTCGGCGAGCACTTCTTGGAGGCGGTTGCCGGTGCGGAGCGGGTTGCCGATGCGGCCTTCGGTCTGCATAACCTCTTCTTGCAGGTGGACATAGTCCTGGACGATCGACTCGAGCAGCGCGCCTTCGAGAAGCAGCTCGCCACGCGTCTCCTCTTCGTCAAGCTCGCCAATCTCCTCGTCATCGTACTCCTCTTCCATGAGCTTTTCAAACGCCTCATCAAGCGCCCGCTGCGCGTCATCCTTGCTCTCGCCATACGCATCGTCGTCGTCGTCGTCGCTAAATTCTTCCTCGTCGTCCGAATCCAACTCGTCGTCGTCTTCGTCGTCGCTGAGGTTGCCGCGGTACTTGGGGATCCCGTCGGCGGCTGCCATGAGCTTGGCAATGTGCGCCTCGTAGTCAAAACCATCTACATCATCGACGTTGAGCTGCATCACAAGAGGTGGATGAATGAACCCATACCGGCGGCGCCATCGTCCTCGCCATTGTCCTCGGCAGCCTGCAGCATAAAGTCATCGTTGAGCTCTTCGAACGCATCTTCGTTGGTCAGCGCTTCGCGCAGATCTTCGTCCATGACGTCCTCCGTGAGTGTGATCGCCTCGAGCATACGCTCCGATTCGACCGTGTTGGACGCAAGGACGTCGTCAGGCAAGACGACGCGCTTGGAGAGGAGACCCGCGCTACAGAGAGCGATAAGTCGACTCCATGGAACGGCGAGAGGTTCTTAATACCCTTCGTCGTAGGTGCCACCGGCCGAGTAAAACTGGCCGTGGCCAATCTCCCGCATGTGCTTGGTGTAGTCGTAGCCATCGTTGACCATACCGAGCTCGTTCACAAGGTCCTGGGCGACGACGTTGCCGAAGCGCACTTGCTTGGTCGGCTACGCAAAGCGTGAGACAAAGCGGCGCGCGGCGATGGCCTACCGCCGAAGCGACGAGGTCGGGCATGTCATCGTCGTCGTCGTCGCCCGAGTCGTACGGCGCCTGCGAGCCATCGAACTCTTGCGCTTGCTAGCATACAGTAGCGTAAGCGCGCTGAGGTGCATTGCTACCTCGCCTACCGTGGCCGAGAGCAGCACAAACTTGGACGCGGTCGGGTCGTTGATGAGCGGATCGCGCTGCGAGCGATGCACGACGTGGAAGTGCTGAGCTTCCTTCTTGTTGATAAAGGCCTTCTTCTTACCCTAGTACGCCACGTGCATGAGCCACGTACGCGTCGTCGTCGGCCTGCCAACCATGGTGCGTGCGGCAGATTCGAGTCTCTCAAGCTACGTTGACCGTCTTGGTGTGCTCCAGTGTTCCACGCCTCTTTCTGATTGGTGCAGGTCGAGGCAGCGCGGCAGGCCATTGGTGGAAAGTCTATAACGCCATCGATTGGTTGAAAATAGACCAATGAGAGGCAATGATGCGATGGCACTCTCCCACGAATTCATCCGCAGCAGCAGCGAAGTCGGTGGCCGCACCGAAGACGCGCGAGCGAGCATCTTGACGCATCCAATTGATATCGACGACGAAGATGGCTAATATTGTCTTAGGGACACTATGCGCAGATTTCAGTGGGCAACAATGTCGGCGCCAGAGACGGAGGCGATGGGGGCGGGGGCGTCATGGGACGATCGACCATGGCATGCTACTTCCAGTGATAGGTACGCGGCCGACAGCAATGGTATTGAAAGTTGCTGTTGTGTGTGATACCAACCAGCTACAAAAGCCATCAAGAGAGATCTTTAGCGAAGTAAAAAGTTAAAAAGTGCGATACTTCTCGATTTATGCGTGTCATCCTTGCGCAGGGGCCATGCTAATCTTCTCTGTATCGTTCCAATTTTTACGGATGATCCCCAAAGGGATTCCTAATGATGGAGAAAAATCACGGTACCAATGAGATTTTTGATCGGCACTTCGATACCCGGTTATTCGCCGTGTTTATTCTAATTTATATCGGCCTCGTGCTGCGCTGTCGCTTACAAAGCCACACGATGCCATCGTAAACAAGCGTCCCTTGTCACTATGACACTTCACCATTCTGCCTTACATGCATGTACCAACGAGCTTGGCAACACATCATCGCTCCCTCTCAAGGCCTCAAGTCTCGCGTGTGTCAAATCGTCATTTTATATATAAGTTATACCCGTCCTTGCGTGGCTAAGCGAGGATTTTGGGTGCCGCCAGCACAGGACACGCCATGGACGAGGCCCGGATCGAGTAGCGCTCCGGGTGGCACGGCATGCCAAGGAAGACGCGCAAAAGGCCCTTAAGGACGTGCAAGAGGAAGCTCGGTTGCGTTGTGTCGGCCATCGCGTCTTCGTAAAAGCAGAGGAGCGTTGTCATCGCGCGCTCCATCTTCTTTGGGGCCCACGGCAGCCACCCGGCGGATGGGACTCGCAGCTGGAGGAGTTTCTTAAGCTCCAACGTCCAGTGCGCCTCCGCGTTGGCGTTGAGGACTTCGTTGTGGTACATCGTCGCGAGCGTTTGGCGAAGGTACTTGAGGTCTTGAATCGACTTGAGGACGGACCACGAGACGTCGCCGACCGTCAGCTGAAAGCAGTAGAGCTTCGTCGCTTCGTCGCCTTCGCACTGGCGAAGGGTGTACGTCCAGACCGCGCGGCGCGCCATTTTGAATCGAGTGTTGGTGGTGTTGTAGCAAAAGGAAAAGTGAGGATCGGTGGCACCCAACATCCACAACCAAACACAATAGGGAGCAGGGGGGACATGGAAGGCGCCTGGAAGGTGCAAAAGGTGCTCGCATCGTACTACGGGTCTTGTGGACATCAAGAGTGGACACGACAGATAGAGTCACACATGGCAGGACACAGCTGCCGGACATTGAGCCGCGCCGTAGGTAGGATTCGATCCACGTGATTGGATTTTTCTTCATTTTTTAATTTTTCCGGATGACGATCGCGCCTGGATTTCTTGCGACCCGTGTTGCTACAATTCTACTCGGCGGGTTGTACCCGGTATCCTTCCCAACTATCCAGAGCCATCGATAGCAAGTAGTTGATGTGTGGGCGCTCGTTCATATCGGTTGTGCCGTCGCCTAGAAGAGTGCGTCGTCGGCCTGGTTCCAAGAAGAGAAAGAGGTGCGACGGGACGCGAAGAACAGTAGAGCAAGAAAGCAAAGCAAGTTTTTGGCAGCCCATAGCGCTCTCCCTTAATCTGCTCGGCCGTCGACGAAGCAGTAGTGGTACGAGCGCACCAGAATAATCTGTGTCTGTGCACGTCCAGGATTCTGCACTTGAGACTCAAAGCGTCAACTTGCAGCTGCTACGCTCTCGTCGAGGTGGTGTGGACATGCTTTTGTTAAAGTGGTTCTGCGCCGCTCGTGCCACTTTTGCTTCTCGATGTTTTCTGTTGAACCGCCTAGCCTGCTACACGACCTCGGGTGCTACCAAAGCCACGCTGGTGGCACAATGACACGTGCCATACTTGTACACTTGTGGGTTGTGAGAAAGCACGAGACGTGGCGTTTGCAATCCTTGATGGACGGACTGGGCGATGCGAAATGGTGTCACGTGCACATGCAAGCTTCGCAAGGGTCATGCATCCTCGTCCGCTCCACCGAGTGGGCGCACCCACGCCAAGCCTTGTCACCGCAGAACCAGAGTGCCGATACCATCTTGGGCGCGTTCAGCCAGCCGTAGACAACGCACGTGCTGCGATGAAGCAAACGTCTCTTGAATACGATGGATGCTACGATGGCCGTCGTCAGGTACAGCACCTTTTGCTCTTTGTGGAATGAGTCCACCTTCTCCCAGAGTATTTTATCATGTCCCTTCTGTAGCCTGTTCTCTCGACGATCTAAGCCATCGACTAGAGCAGCCACTATCTCTGCATCGTCCGAACGACGAAGAACTGCCGCGTTAAGCTGCCACGTGGAAATTATTCTAGTCTGCCCATGGTGCATTGATGGAACGGCGCCTTCTTCAAGAGGAGCTATCCACGTCATTGGGCGCTGCGTGAGGTGAGCTACCTATAGCAGGTGGAGCTATGACCCCGTCCGACAGGGACAAGGTGCTGCTGCTGTGATGCACATTACCTCTGATATCCGGATGCGACGGTTTCTCAACTTGACGTTTGTATCGGATTGATGTGTCAAAGCAAAAAATATTTTCGAAGCACGGATGTTCTCGGCGCTGGGCTCGCCGAAGCTGACCAAGCACGCCGAGTGGAGCTGCAGCCAGCGCGCCGCGACGGGCGGCGCCAAGCTGCACGTCTTCCGCCTGTGCTCCAAGCTCGGGTCTTGGGACCTCGCGCGCACCTTTGTCGAGCTCGAGTTCTTCCGCGAGACGCTCCGAACACTCTACAACAGCGAGGTCAGCAGCAACAGCCACGAGTCGAACTGGCCGCGCCGCCTTCGGCACGTGTTGACACTGCCATTTCCTAGCGTCGAGTGGCTGCCATGGGCGCGCGGCCAGCTCGGGCGCTTTGTCGCGTCGCTCGTGGCCCTCCACGACGACGCCTCGCGCGTTGCGAACCCGACCTTTCTCCTCAGCGTGCTCCAGCCGCTACTTGGCAAGTTCCTCG